GAATTTTTACATTTTTTGGCGATTGGACGGATCCGGACCGTTCATGCATGCGGGATCGATCCTGAACAGTCCGATTGCAGGGTAGCAGATCACCAGCGTGGCCTCCTGCGTGGCATCGACGTCAGTGCGTCTTGCCACGCGACACGTTCTGGTTCGTCAAGGCTGTTGACTGGGCGATCCTACGTGGCCGAACTTTTTCTATTTGTACTTTGACATCATATTTTCAATTTTTCTTTTAAAAACACATCGATAACCTAAATTTTCATTTTTTTTTCTAAAATTATTTTCAATGTTGTACCTAATTCATTTTTTTCTCAAAATTTTACTTAAATAAAAATAAAATAAAATAAATAAATTATTTTAAATTAATAATTAAAGAATAAAAAAATTATCTCAGGTCGTTTTTGGGACCCGAATATTACATATAATTTCATCTAATAAAAATAATCCTTGAATTAGTTTTATGGAATGGATCTAATATTCACATTGACATTTTAGAGATTTTATGAAGTAAGATAATTAATATTGTAATTCAAAATTCTTATGTTATTTCCATTATATTTGATGTTTCAAGTATAGAAAAACAAAATTTATTGTTTTAAATTATTATGTATATAAAATAATTTTAATTGTTCTTGGCATCGTGCGACACATTTTCAACAATAATTTAATTATTCATTTAAGAACAAATAGTATATTTCATTATGTAAGTAGCTTATAAAAAAAAAACAACAACTGATGAGCTTATCAAAAAAGGATCACATAATAATATGATGATATTTAATGAGATTTACCATTGAGGGAGGAGTAATTAAATTTCCTTATTTATTCACTCGCACGTATCATATAAGAACACGTGTTAATGCTGTTTAGTTTTCTTCAAACAATGTTCTTTGTGTCTTATCAACACAAAACAACTTAAATCTTTATATCACACAAATTTAAAAAAGTTTTATTATGAAGGATTGAAATACTAATACCAACGGCTTTTAAATCAACATGGTATAGAAAAGTTATGATAAAGAAAACGTATGTAGTTTAGTTACTAAAATTGTTTGAAAAGATAATTAGTTTAGGTACATTAAAAATACTATTATTGTTAATTATAACATAATATGAGGGTGATTTTTTTAATTTTTTTTTTCTTTAAAATAGAAAATTAAAAGCTGTATTGCAGTGTTGTCAAATTTTTAACATTATTTTTTATTTTGATAATTTTTAGTTTTATTAATTTAAAGAGTACTCTGTATAAATAAAATATTAAATGTATCAGAATCATATATAAGAATGAGCTTTAAAATTATTTAGAATGATTAAAATCTTTTGACTGTGAACTGGAACTTTTAAATATCATTTTAATTGTTGGATTATATTTTCATAATTTTTTTAATTAAATAAAATGTTGTATTTAGAAATACGTGTATGATAGGAGCAGGAGCGACACTGCCGTGGAAACTTTTCAGTACAAAATAAGTCAAACAAATCCTCCCTATTTATTACATTATGTCTACGCCGTATTTGGGGGTAAATTCCGTATAAACAAAATTATTTTCAAAAATTAATTTTTACTGTGACCAACTACGAAGCACGCTCTCTTCTGTGTACACACGAGTGGACCCCACTCTTTATTATTATTATTATTATTATTTATTTATTTATTTTCTAGCTGTGTCAAATTGTCATTTCCTTTTCCACACTCCTCATTTCTCCTGCTTCTTCTTCTTCTTCTTTGTCTCTGTACCGTACCCTTCTTCTCTTACTTTCTCTCCCTGTCTACACTCCGGAGCCTATTATTCTTTGCTTTGTAGAGAGAGAAAAACAAGCCTGTTTCTATAGACAGAAAATAGAAAATAAACAAAGCTTTTCCATTATGCTTGTGATTCAACTTGAGGTCACAGCCAAATCTTTGTTGCTCTTCTTGATTTTTCTTTAACGGTAAGTTATCTTCTCTAGCTTTTTTGGTAGGTTAACTTTATTTTTGAGAGTTGCAGATGCAAACTTTTTCAAACCGAAATGTATAGATTTTCTCTTTTTCCCCCCGGAATTTGAATTTTTTTTTCAAGTTTTTGGAAACTGCAGATTGATTAATTAGTGATCTTGTCCGAGTTTTACAGATCAATTTGCTGTGATATCATCTTTGAGATTTGATTTTACCTTTCTTTCTTCCATGTCTCGGTTCTTGTTTTTGCATTGAAGATTTTGAGATTCTTTTTACTTCGATCAATTCATGTCTTGTTTTTTCCCTTTGGCTTTAGACTCAAGATTTGGGTATTCTCATTTGTTTCTCTCCCCCATTTTCTTTTCTTTTAAATACACAGTCGGTCTTTTCTTTCAAAATCTTAGTCGTTGGTTTTGTTGTTGTTTTGAATTTGCCGGTTAAGTTTTAGCAAGATTATTGGTTGGATAAATAAATTTTATCATAATTTTGGAACACAAGTATTAGATTGAGTTTTGGATAAGATAAATATTCGGATTGCTGGATTTAGCTATGATTAATTTTATTATGTTATTTTTTTTTCCAATTTTCTCTTGATTTTTGTAGAGTTCGATTACAAGCTTATTTGGTGCTCTATTCTGCTAAACTTTTTGTTTTAAGAAAATTTTCCGGCATTTTGAATGCCAGTGTGAATTTAGGCGGATCACAATGGTTTAAAATTCTTGAGTTTTAGATCGTATTTTGTGTCTTCCTACTGAGTTTCGAGGACTGGCTAACTTTTCTTTCTGTTTGTTTGATTTTGACATATGTGCTTTTCTCTCTTTGCTTTTTTCTGGTTATTTGCTCCCTTTAGGTGGCATGGGGGAGTAGCGTTCTTGATCCGGCTTTTGGTCCAATTCGTTTGATTTGGTTCTCTTTTAATTTTTACATTATTCCTACACTTAATTAGTAGACTAATTCTGATAGCTGAAATTGGAAAGTTTCTCACGTTTTAGTTGACTCTAATTTTTACATTGTGGGCATAGAGGTGGTTCAAATATGAGTACTATGATGCAATTATATTTATGGTGAAGAAGCAATGCACAAGTTAAATGGGAATCAAATTGTAGAATATCTAATAGAACACTGCTCAACAAACCTTTCTAGTAAATAAATTATGTTACTAGTCTGATTCACCTAGTTTGCAAGAAACAAATTTGGATCTAAAGTTTGCTTATCATTTGTTCACTCAGAAGTTTTTGAATTGGTTTTTGGTCTCAACGATATCTTTGTTCTCCTTATCTCTCATTTTTGGATATTAAGCTATGAAATTTTCACTGCCCTCATATTTCTCTTATTTTTGGCTATTGAACTCCAAATTTTTAAGCTGCTCTTCTACGCTGCGGCTTCATCAGCTAAGAATCTTCAATGAAAATGTTCCATGAAGTGGGATTACTTCCCTGTATTAATAAATCTTCTTTTCTAAACATTTGAGTTGCACTAACCTCAGATTCTCAATTTCTGATTTTAAGAATCAAATGGATTTTTGTTAAATCAACTTATTTTTTAGAGCTGTAACCTATGTTCTTAGCGAATATCAGTTTAATTTTTTTCCTGAATCAATAGGTCGTCTAGTCTCAACATTTTTTGGAATATACCAGCTGGAGTTATTTTTTATAGCAGATGTGTAGCATGTGTCACACCTGTGGCGGAGAACTTTGTACGTCTGAGGGCAATAATAAGCAGCAGAATGAGAAATTTCTGAAGTTGAATGGTGAATGCCCTCGTGGTTCCTGTAAATCTTGTTGGGAGAAGCAAGAACGTGAATCTTTAAAGAAGTATGTTTTGAGTCCATATGCAACACCATTGATCAGTCCGACGACTTCCTTGTCAAGCAGTGATCGGTCCTTCTCAAGCTCAAGTATATTTCTCTATCAATTTTCTATAAAACGACCCTTCTTTGACATAAGATTGTGTACCATCATATTGTATTCTGATGATTTCTTTCATTCATCTGTCATTTTAGGTGAGTTTTCCGTAGATGGAATTTCATATGACAGGTAGTTATCTGCTGTTGAATTGTATTTCTGGTGTACAAACTTTTGTGTTCTGCTTAAAACAAATTGTCCTTTTGATGTTTTCTCTTAGGGTAAATCATGAAGGTGCAGCAGACAGCAGTAATGATGATTTGAGCTATAGGATGAGTGACCAAGTACTGCAGTTACCCTCAAAATGTCCAGTAAATGGGGTTGATAGATCTAATACAGTGATTGAGAATGGAAATTATGGTGTTGATGGAGATGTAGTTAGAGAAGTGGACATAGTTCAAAATACTAATGTTCTGGAAGCAAAAGGAATTGGCCCAGAATATGATAGCAAATGTTCTATTGGGGAATCTGGAAGTTCAAATCCCGACGATGATCTGATGGATGCCAAGATTTGGGAACCTCCAGAATCAGAAGATCCAGAGGATGACTTGGAGAGTAGTGTGGCTTATAATGATGATGACGACGACGAGTGTGGTGATGGCGTCAATTGGGGCAATCCAAGTTCTTTTAGTCATTCTAATGATGAAGGTTGTGGAAACTACAGGTTCAAAGAAGAAAAACAACGAGCAATGGAAGAGGTGATAAATGGCAAGTTTAAAGCAATTGTGAGTCAGCTTCTAAAATCAGCTGGTGTTGCCTCACCTGTTGAAGATGGTGAAAACTGGGTTGATATAGTTACTTCTTTATCCTGGGAAGCTGCTTCATTTTTGAAGCTTGATGGTATTGATGGCAAGCCAATGGATCCAGATGGCTATGTGAAAGTTAAATGCATAGCAACTGGGTCTCGCAGCCAAAGGTGATATGATATAGCCAGAATAGTTATTAGTTATATTACACTTTTGATTATTTATGTGCAGCAACTAACATAGTTAACTTCTGATAACATTGCCCATTACTGGGTTATTCTAGAGGGTTTTAATGTTAAATACATAATCTTCAATATAATAAAGAGCTACAAAATATGTTGATTAAATACACTTTGTTTTTCCAGAAAATTATCTGATCAGTAAGAAAGAATTTGTACCTGTTCATGTTTTCCTTGACAACATGGGAATATCATTTATGGCCCCTCATCAAATGGCATTTTGTCTTGTTTATCTTTTCTTTTAATTTAGAAGGGAGATTATCAACATCTTAATTTGGTGTCCTCACATTTTCTTAATTATCACACAATGTATTTTTGTTTTTATTTGCTACTCATGAGGTTAAAATATTGTCTTGCAGTCAAGTAGTGAAAGGCTTGGTGTTTAAAAAGCATGCTGCTCACAAGCACATGCCAACTAAGTACAAGAATCCAAGGTTGTTGCTTATCCAAGGTGTGCTTGGTCAGTCTTCCAGTGTTTTATCATCATTCAAGTTAATGGATCAGGTATTCTAGCAGGAAATTTGTATTTTCTCATCATCCATTATGCTATTTTTTTCTCATCATTTGGCTGCAAACAGGAAAAGGATCATCTGAACTCTGTCATTGAGATGATAGAAATGTGCCATCCAAATGTTGTATTAGTAGAAAAAAGTGTTTCTCGTGATGTTCAAGAGTCTATCCTTTCCAAAGGAATGACACTGATATTTGACATGAAGCTCCATCGCTTGGAGAGAGTTGCTCGCTGTACTGGTTCGCAAATTGTATCATCCGATACTCTGATGAATCAAAAGCTAAAGCAGTGTGATTCCTTTCACATTGAGAAGTTTATAGAAGAGCATGCTGCTGTTAGTGAAGGTGGCAAGCAGCCAACTAAAACATTGATGTTTCTTGAGGGCTGTCCCACACGTTTAGGTTGCACTGTAAGTTCAAATTTTTGTAATTAAACCATACTAGTTGGTAAGTAATATTGAATTCAAGACTTTGATATGATCCTGAAACTATAAAATAACTTGTCACAGCTTTTGTTTTTCTGATATAGATGGTTAATACTGATCCTTTCCTTTAGAGTAAGATATTTTTATTGTGCTATTCATCTGAGGAAAAAAGTTACTCAGTACCTTGACATTGATAATTGATATTTTGCTGATGCTCTTTGTTTTGGGATAATTTTCTATGGATTATCCATTGTGGATCCTTGGACAACAGTACTTACTTAGTTGACGGTATTGCCTGATGCATGCAGATTTTGCTGAAAGGAAGCCATAGTGATGAATTGAAGAGGGTTAAATATGTGGTGCAGTGTGCAGTTGTCATGGCATATCATTTAATCCTTGAGACTTCTTTCCTTGTTGATCAGAAGGCAATGTTCTCTACGATTCCCTTTGCTGGAGTAGGAGAAGTCATACCAACAGATCAGCTATCTCCTGCTTTAGAAATTGGTAATTCAAGTGTTCCTTGTCTTGATGACTCTAGCACTGAAACTGCATTAATCAAAATTGATAGCCTTGTTTTGAATGGATTACACGAGGAAAATTCCCATGTCAGCAGGGTATTGGAATATGATAAAATGGTCAATGGAGTGTCAGATGGAGATTATGCGTTATCTTATGAGCCGTATAATCCAGCCATTTTTACTGGGTTATCATCTCTTTCAGCATCCCTGAAGAAAGTTATATGGAAAAGCTTTCCTATTGCGTCTGCTACCTCTCGGTCTCTGTCTGCATATCTTGGCTTAAATGGAAAGGAGTCTGAAAGGATCTTAGAAGAAATTCCAGTTCTGAAAGTTCCAGACGTTTGTGATCACTGTAATGCTGAAAGTAAAGGTAACTCTGATGAAACGAAATCAATTGAGGATGGAAAAACACAGTCTTTATCATTATGTGGTGACAACCTGACAGATATACTAATAGATGATGCAAATGAAGAAAACCAAATGCAGTGTAAGGATGATGTCAACAAAGTGGTGGATTCTCAGAGTATTTTGGTTTTGATGTCTAGCCGGAATGCCTCGAAAGGAATTGTTTGTGAACAGAGCCATTTTTCTCATATCATGTTCTACAAGAACTTTGATGTTCCCCTGGGAAAGTTTCTTAAAGACAATTTACTAAATCAGGTTTCTCAGATCTCCTTTTATTACCAAGTTTTACACTTACGTAGTTTACTATGAATCTCAATGGGTAAAGCCCTAGGTAGCTTATCTGCTAGTACGGAATTTATTTTTTAGGTTCGAAGAATTGCTTCTGTAATTCCATTGTAAAGTTTGTTAACCCTTAATGTAACTGAGTTTGCATATTATTTTCTTGGGCTGGATTAGCTCAACTTTGGACTGATGGAAACTGTTCATGCTGCAGAAAAGCCAGTGCATGACATGTGGTGAATTGCCAGAAGCACATTTTTACTATTATGCTCATAATAGTAGGCAACTCACAATACAAGTGAGACGGCTTCCCAATGGAAAACAGTTGCCTGGAGAAGCCAGAGGAAAACTCTGGATGTGGAGTCGGTGTGGTAAATGTAAAGGTAGGAATGGAACTCCAAAATCTACAAAAAGAGTATTGATCTGCACTGCTGCACGTGGTCTGTCATTCGGAAAGTTCTTGGAGCTCAGCTTTTCTCATAACTCTTCCATGGGTAGTTTCTCTGGTTGTGGCCATTCTCTGGACAGAGACTTCCTCTATTTTTTTGGGTATGGTCTGGTTTATCTCCTTTCATTTAATGTCGTTTTTCTATCTCCACATGATTTTTTTTTCTTCTGAATGAGTAGAGTAAGTAAAATTTCTCTGAGTTTCAAGGTGAAGATTTGTTTTCACAAATTTGTGAGTAAAAACGTGGAGATCTCAACTAAATGCATATAATGGCTATGGTGCCCCAATGCTTTTTGAGGAACTATATGCTAATTACTTGAATCAACTTTCTGCTAGCCTGCATATCTTTTTCTGTCCATTTACTTATGGAACCTTCATGCATATATAGGTCTGGCCCCATGATTGCAATGTTCAAGTACTCTCAAGTTACAACTTATACTGTCTCTATGCCTCCTCAAAAGCTAGAGTTCAGCAATTCAATTAGAGGAGATTGGCTTGAGGAAGAACTTGAAAATGTGCGTTTTTCCTGATTAAATCCTTGGTTTTGATTTATGTGAATGCTTGGATATGCTTGGCCAGTTTTGAAATCTAATCTTTTCATGTAATTGATGAATTCTTCCTTTTAGTAATGATTTTGAATTGGAAGTATGTTTTTTTTCTCCTACTCAAGGTCTATGCAAAAGGAATTTTACTGTTCCGAGAGGTTGCAAACTCATTGAAACGGTTAAAATCTCAGTTCATTGGTTCAACTATAATCCTTCAAGGGTTACAGAAGAACTTCTTAGATATTGAAGCGATGTTGAAGCAGGAAAAATTGGAGTTTGAGGTTAGTTTCTCTCTTGGTACTTGTTTGAAGAAATTTTACCTTTATGGATTTATGTGGTTGATGCAATCAGTCAGGTGCACAAATGCACTTTTGCAAGATTGGTGGCTCACTGAATCCTTTGAGGCTTATTTTTATTATGAAAAATTTCAATTATGAACCTGAATTTTTGCAAAACTAGTGTTTTGTTGCAGTATAACCTTTCTGTACTTGCAATTGCATCAATAGGAATAGTCCCTGATTTCATTTTTATGTTATCTTATTTCATTTTTTTTCTCCTGTTTGGCTTTTATTGTTGAAAAAAATGCACTAAAATTCAGAGTGGCCTTGGTAAGAATGGGAAGCCGGAGGAAGATTTACCACAACTTCTCAACTTGAACCGAATACGATGGGAGCTTCTGCTTCTGGCACGTATATGGGACAGGCGTTTGCACTCGCTGGTCTTGCCTGCACCAGCAATAGTTGTGACAGGAATTGGTGAGGAAAATGCAGAATGGTTCAAGTCAAAGTTGGATGGTGCTGCTGGTGCCAGGGATAAAGAGGCAAAAGCTAAACTGGAAAATGGTCACACAGTTCCTGATAATTGTTGTGATTTACCAATTCTATCGGACAAACCTGTTGAAGGACATGAATTTTCAGTAAAAGAAATTCCAGTTACTGGTCCTCCCCAAGATGTGGAAAAACAAGATGATAAGTATAACATATCTAATATTGATGAGGGTATTAGGATCCACGCACATTCAGACGCATGTGCCGTTTCTGCTTCCCGTCATCCCTCTGATGACAGTTATCCACCCAATAAAATTCCTTTTTCTGATAGTCTGCAAGTAGATAGAATAACTCCAGTTACCGTAGAATATGAGAACAATGATCATCTTGATACAAATATGTCTAGAAAGGGTTCTCCACATTCAATATCATCAAGCTTAGAAAGATCAAGTGGATGGTTCTGGATGCCTTTCTGGGAAATCCGGCAGATACACTTGAATGGTCTTCAGAGAGGTTACTTGCCAAAATTTGAATCCGTCAATAATTATACTTTAGAGCACCTATCCACTGTCTGTCAGCTAATCAGTGAAGAAGGTTCAAGGCTACACATACCTCTGGGAGATAATAATTGTATTGTGTCGGATTATGAGGGTGAAGTCTCGAGCATAATTGCATGTGCACTAGCCTTGTTGAAAGATATACCTGTATCTGCAGAAATTGTTGATGAAGACAGCAGGAGAGAGTCTGGAGTGGCTGCTAAAGCAATTGAAAGTTTACACAGCATATCTAGAATTCCTACCATGACATCCTCAAATTGGTCTCTTAATGGATCTTCTGATTCAGATGCAATCCAGGCTACCCTAAGCATTTCTTCAGAAGAGACAGGACTTTCCAGTTTTGATGGGTTTAATTTGTTGGATTCTCTGAGTTTGCCTGAAGGTCTTAGCATGGAAGTGTCTCTTGGAGCTGGAAAGTCACTTGGAAAGAGCAAATACTCAGTAAGATGTCTATATGCCAGCCAGTTCCGTAATCTTCGGAATCGATGTTGCCCGTCTGAAATTGATTTTATCGCTTCTCTCAGTCGTTGTAGAATCTGGGATGCGAAAGGTGGCAAAAGCAAATCATTGTTTGCTAAAACAATTGATGACAGGTTCATTATAAAGGAAATTAAGAAAACAGAATATGATTCATTTGAGAAGTTTGCTCCGCATTATTTCAAGTACATGAATGAATCATTTGATTTGGGGAACCAAACTTGTCTTGCCAAAGTTCTTGGGATTTATCAGGTTTATACTTTTAACCTTACTATGTTTAGGCTTTTTTATTTCATCGTTTGTTCTCCTTAATGCTTGAATATACTTTGCAGGTGACCATAAGACATCCAAAAAGTGGAAAAGAGATTAGGCATGATCTCATGGTGATGGAGAATCTCACTTTTGGTCGAAAGATTACTCGTCAATATGATCTTAAAGGGGCTCTACATGCTCGGTTTAATTCAGCTGCTGATAGTTCAGGAGATGTTCTTCTGGATCAGAACTTTGTCAATGACATGAATTCTTGTCCATTATATGTTAGTAATACAGCAAAGCGTCTCCTGCAACGGGCTGTTTGGAATGACACTGCTTTCCTCTATGTGAGTTTTGCTGTTAATTCTTTATATTAATAGCATCTTTTCATGTGACATAGTCGCTGACATGTTTTCATCGATTAACTGGATACACTCTGGCAATGCTCCGCCTTCTGAGGTTGTTAAAAGAGCAAATAGCATTTTGCTTCCATGGTTATGAATCTGTTAACATGCACATGCTTTTGCTAGTTCGTTTTCTCTATTCTGGCTGCACTTTATACATTTTTCATTCCTTTTTCTATTTGCATTATCAAATTTTGGTCCAAAAAATTAGGTTTCCAATCTTTACCACTCCTGACACCTCCGTCTATTTCCAGTCAATCAATGTAATGGATTATTCTTTACTTCTTGGAGTGGACACCGAGCGGCGGGAGCTTGTTTGTGGAATTATTGATTACCTTAGGCAATATACTTGGGACAAGCAACTAGAGACATGGGTTAAGTCTTCACTTGTGGTTCCCAAGAATGTTTTGCCAACTGTTATCTCCCCAAAAGAGTATAAGAAGAGATTCAGAAAGTTCATGTCTACTCATTTCTTGAGTGTTCCAGACGATTGGTGCTTGCAAGGATCATCGGAGCCTCATGAAGATTATCATTTATCTCAATACAAATCCCAGAAGCAAGGGGGGATAAATGGTTTTTCTTCGTAGGTCTCTTCTTTTCAGGTTATTTATTTACTTGATCTATACAGTCAGTTGAGATGATATTGTTGCTATTGTAAATAGGTTATGTAAGAGCCCTCCTCGTCATTCTGCAATTTTTAGCAAATTTCTGGGGAAAAATTTCATCATCTCCGTAGGTCTCCCCTATCCATCTACATGTCCATATATATATATATATTTTATTTTTTGTAAAGCCATTGAGAAAGTGTAGAAAATCCCGGTGAATGAAGCCTACAGATATTATTTTGTATCAATGAAAAGTTGTTGCCGCCATTTGGTGTTAGTTTTGGATCTTTGATGCTTGTGTCCCCAGCATTTCAGAACGTAATAAGGCTTCTTTCCTTCTCTGGATACCCAAGTTCAGATGTTCAATTTCATTGTAAACAATTATATCATTTGGTCATTTACCCAAATCATTTTAAAACATTGTTTAAAATTTCAAGGGGAAATAAAAGTGGCTTGACTTTTAAGTATGGATTTATTACCCAATTTGTGTTTGAAATTCTAAATATGTGATAAATTAATTTTCAGATAATTTGTTATGGAATATGAGCTATATAGATTCATTGCAGGAAAAATTTAAAATTGGATTAACCAATTATGTGCACGTAAGAGTAAATAAATTATTTTCTGTTTGAAAATTTTTTGTCAGCTTATTATAAGATGGTAAAGAGATTTAATTTCTATTTGTTATTAACAGTCGTTCACACATCCATTTATCACTTATTTTTTGAAGAAATAGAAGGGAAACAACTGCCATTTTTTTTCTTGTTTTTGCTGCAAGTTACATTAATTTTTCGGTCGTATTTTGTATTACTAGATATTTTAAGTAGAATTTTGTACAATGAATAATGCATACACTACTTTATAAAGTAAGAATATTTGTTTCTATTATGATTTCTGTGCAAAAGGACGCAAGGCATCCCAATACCACGCGGATGAGCAAAACAAAACGCAGGAAATGAACAGAATTCCTCGTCTCCTCGATTAAACAAAGAATCTTATCCCCCGTTCTTCTTCCTCTTAAACACATATCCACCATGAATTTCCCAGACCTCCTCGAAGATAATCCATGGATTACAACTCAGATTCAGACACCCAACAACGCCTCATCATAACCAGCCAAGACCAAGATGAAGACGACGATCACGCTGACGAATCACATTACATATACGTAATCAACGCAATACTAAGCGGCACAGCAAGGCTCAATGTTCTATTACCAACAGCAACCATCCTCGCCTTTTCCATCTTCGCTCCTCTGCTAACCAACGACGGAGCCTGCACCGCCCTCAGTAGGCGGCTGATGGGTTCCTTCATCTTCCTCCTCTCGGCATCTTGCGTGTTCTTTGCTATCACCGACAGCTTCCGGACACCGGCGGGCAGGGTGTACTACGGGGTGGCGACAGTGAACGGCATGTGGACGTTCAACGGCGGGCGGAAAAAACCGAGGGTTCCGGCGGATTACAGACTGAGATGGGAAGATGGATTTCATGGTTTGCTTTCGCTGGTGGCTTTTGTGACGTTTGCGGGATCGCACAGGGACGTAGTGGGTTGCTACTATCCGGGGATTCCCAGGAAGGTGACGAAGTCCATGCCGCTGGTGGTTGGGTTGGTGGTGAGTGTTTTGTTTATGGTGTTTCCTTCGAAGAGAAGAGGCATTGGATGCCCTTTTTTGCTGCAGAGAAGTCTTTTGAAATCGAGAGGCTAAAATCTGCCAATTGTCATTTGGCGGGAAAAAGAAGGATTTACTTAAATTCTCAAATTTAATAATAAACTCATCTACATTAGATTCATTTAGTAATTACTGTTAATCATACATATTAAAAATTAATCTTTTTTATAATTCCTGATTAGTCATTAGTACTCTATTTTCTTTTTGTATGAGGTAGATTTCGCAAAAAAACTTATGAATATATAAATTACAGGTAAGAGTTTGTTGAAAATAAATTAAAAAACCAATAATGTAGATGAGTCATTTTTTCCCATCCCCAATCTATAGCAAGGAGTCGGGCATAATTCACGTACAAATAATATTGCCAACATTATTGTATTGTTAATAGTTTTTTTAGTAACTATAAACAGCGGCAGATTCAACCGCCGCTAAAGAAGAAATGTTTAATCCGCCGGCCAAAAAACGTTAGCTTTATTCTGTCGCTAAGCTTGACATTTTTCCCGCAGTTAAGCATCTGTTGATCTCATCATGACGTAGCATCCGTTTTTTTGTTTCATTTGCTACAGATAGAAAATCGTCGCTTAAAGCCGCCATGCAACGCGTTTACGGACCGCTGCTAAATGTTTTCCACCAGCTTCTTCTGTCGGTCAATGCAAACCGTAGGTTTTGCCTCTAAAAGTACGGCAGATTAAATTTAATTTATATTTGTATATTTTTATTTATTTCTAAGTTAAAAATATAATATTAAACATTAAGACACACACTGTTTGGTACTAAAAAAATCGTGCTATTTAAAGATAAAAAATATTTATTTACGTCTTTGAAATTAATTATTTAAAATATACATGGGTATGTTTGGATCTATTACTATTTTTTAATTAACAATTTACCTTTTGTAGTTTCTTTTTGGGTAAGTTTTATACATAATAGATAAGTTATTCAATGGCTAAAAAATATTAATGACAAATTAAATTGTTTGAATAGAAGTTTTATAAATTGTTTAAATAAAAACCTGTACTTTAATGATCCCAACCGTTCAATTAGAAACTTCTCTTCATTTTTAGTTCCATAGGGTTGTAGATTTGTGCTTCTTCCTTGCCTCTCTCATTCTCTGTTCTCTCTCACTCCCCCTTTTATGCTTCATCTTGTATGCTCTCTCTCTTTTTAAAGAGAACGGAGTGTGATTGAGAATGTACAAAAATAATTTTAAAAAGATACAAATAAAATTTACGTGATAACATATATAGTAATTTTTTAAATATAAAATTAAAATTAATTATAAATTATGTATTAAATAGTTTTAAAATATAAGATAATTTTAATGATATATAATAATTATTTATTTAAAATTTCTGAATATAAATAAAATTTTATTTTTAATTAACTATAAATTATGTATAATATAATTAATTTTTAAAATTATAAGTTGCGTGTAATATGAAACAAATTTCCATCTATATGCAGAACATAAAACTACATAATTCACACCTACCCTTTAAATTTTTAATGAGCTTGAAGTTCTTCAATGTCATTATTTCAAGATTATTAAATGGTGAATGCATCTAAGAGTTAGACAGGCGCGTGTAATGACGCTCCTTTGTCATGCTTACGCAGAAGAATCTGATCCCCTGATCCCTCTTCTTCTCCGTTTCCCCCACATATAAAATGCGTCTGACTGTACCCCTGATCCCTCGTTTCTAGCTTCCAGGAATGATTATCAAGATAAACAATCAATCATTTAATCACGAAAATAGCAGAGACCTACAAAGTTTTTGTCTTTAAGGTTTGTTTCTCAGATCTCCATCTCCTCCCCTTCTAGTTTGTCAATATTTGTCTCTGGGTCTCTTAAAAGATCTCCTTCTTAAATCATTGTCCTTCAGATGATTCTCATGGATCTTCGTGTAGGCCATATTCTAGCTGCTCGCATGTTTCCATGAGCATATATAGGAAAATTAGTTCTATGGAGTTAATGGTTCTCTTGGGTTTTTGCGTATTTCAGCACTTGAACTCTCTAATTATGTTGGTTTAGCTCCAAAATTTGCATGCTTTTGCAATTGCAGTAATTCCGGTTAGGAGATGTCGTTTTCATGTTAGCTGTTGTAAGGAGACGGATTGCAGGGAGTTTTTGAATTCTTCATTAGGGTTTCAGAGTTGTGTGGTCTGCGTAAATTCTTGAAATTGGGTTTTGTGTCTATAAGATTGGGGTTTTATTCTGATTTTGATTATCCAATCCTGTGCATTTTGGTTTGTTGTGAATTTTTAAGTAATGGGTTTGGATTACTGGTGGATTGTTAATAATGGACTCTTTGAACTAAAGCACTGTCCCTAATATATTCATGTAAAATATGAAGAAAGGACAGTACGATTGCTCATTTCTTTTACCTACAAAGAATCCAGTCCTGCTTCGCGTTGGTAATCTTTGAAATAAGATGCTTTTCTCACTCCGGTACAATTTTTAGCAGACATTCATATAATGAGACTAATGTCCTACATGGTCTGGTTAAAGCTGATACTAGTAGATTTACAACAATAATCCTTGTATTCTTGCCCAAGAGAATGAAATTAGACCTGGCTCACATGGTATTTTACCAGCATGTTAACCCCTCTGGGTTACTTGTTGCCTTTTTCAATTGCTTCTTGTAAGATTCTAGAGGTAAGGGAATGCTGAGAACTATCATCTCGTTTTGTGTCTATTCTGAGGGAGGGTTTCACTCATGCACAAACATTTGGCATTCGATATTAGATAGTTAATATCACGTTCTATTTCATTCATCCAATTAGGATCCTCTAAAATTGAAATTAAAAAGCTGGGATAACTAAACAGATGGATTTGGTGATTTTAACTAAACTGGGTTAACCAGTTTTTGTCAATTTGACTACTTACTTTAGTTCTGACTGAATAATGTGCACCCTGCATACAAATGCAATGTGGAGAGGAGGGTAGAGAATGCTGATTACACTGATTATATTGAGACACCTTAACATAGTTTAACTTTTAGAAACTGCTACCTTAATCCACCTAAATAACTCTTATGAATCTTGAAAAGAGAAATTGTTGATTTCAGTGATCTTCTTTGTCAATTACATATTATACTAGAACAGGTAATTTAACAAAGACCATTGGAATTTAATGAAAACAAGTATGGTTATTGGTTGAGCTTCTTTGTGAAGTAGTTTCTAGTAACTAAACATTCCATAACACAGGCTTTCGGATATGGATGAAAGATTCAGTGGTACTGCTGTAACTAATCAGTTCATTATGCTCTCCCAAAAAGCTAGCTTTGACCTTTAAAAGATTGTTGTATTTGGTTTTTGATCCTTGGGTACTGTTGAGGAATTTGAATGATTAAGATGATATAATATAGGTAGACATTCAGGACATGGGGAACTTTTTGAGGCGAAATAGCTCTTTTTGTGTAGAAAGTAGCATTTGCTTAGATTTTCAGAAACCAAATCTGTGAAGGAAGACAAATTGGACAACTGAATCAGGTGTTATGTAGCATAGGACTTGATACAACTGAAATCAGATTCATTGTTCCTGAAACCAGCTTTTGATGCGTGAAGGGTTGGTCTTGTGTGTATATTCGTGGATGCACATAAATTCCAGAGTTTTAAACCCGATACTTCCATTCCTGAAATCAGCTTTTAATTTACCAACTGCTGGTTCAAGAGTTGGTGTCTGATGCACTGTCCTTGTAAACTAGACAATTTAAAAAGTGTCTTCAGAACAAATCTAGCTTCGGATTTTCATCTTGTTGATGTGGTATTTTCTTTTAGAACATAACAAATGAAATCACATTTGTTCTTAGCTTTTCATGCTCTGGAAAGGGTTTCCCTTTCACAGCTTTAATGTTTATAAATTTGGTTGATCAGAATATATGCCATCTATTTACTTGCAGGAGGGAACGGCAATTTGGTTTTGTAGCTTTTGGTATATATGCATATGTATATGCTTCTGCTAGTGCGTGTATATCAATTTGGTTTTGTTTATTGTTTCTACTTGACATTTCCATTGCAGCATAAAGCATTCTCACTCTGCCAGCCGAAGCTGCTTGGAAACAAACCATGAGTCTGGCATGTCTGGTGTGCCATAGTGTTGAAAGTCCATCGCACTCTTTTAGGAGTTACTCTGTTTCAAGTTCAGATAACGAAGGGAGATGTTCTACCATCGCAAGTTGCCTAACTCGGAAACTGTCTCTTCCAGCTCCAAGATCAAATTCTTGTATAACAACATCAACCTCCAAAGTGACACCACAACCAAACATTCAGAGCAGCAGTGTCTCAGGTGCTCCACGGCTAGTACGCAGCCATGCTGTAAGAAGGGATCTTGTGCGAGACTGGAATTTTGATGAAGCTGTAATGGAGAGCTAGTTTGTGAATTTAGAGGTAGGAGAGAATAGGGCTATGTTTGGTGGGATAGGATTAGCATTGCACTTTGATCTTGCCTTTTACTACTTGATACTTCTATTTTGTTCTTGGTGCAGTTAAAACTATGAAGAGTATGAGCATTTGTAGCCACATCTATGGCGAATGAATTGAATGTGACAAGTTGTTCATATTTCACTCTGTTTTGGTTTTCTTTACCTGATCGAAAACCTGACTGTGGCTAGTAATTTTCTTGCAATTTCAAGTTTTGTCTTCTTGCAGAATATTTTGATTTGTATTTCGGTGAAATGAGGTAACAGACTTGTCTTTTTTTGTCAGAGAGTAGCTTAATTGAAGCCAAATGATTCGCAGGTCTGAGTCAAACAGAATAATGATTTGGTGAATGACAAGGAGTCTGGTTTATTCTATATTCAAACATTTAATAATTTGTTTTGTTAATAATTTGAGAAAATTAGATGGCCAATCAGATCACGTTAGAAACTAATCATAAATTGTGATTTACATATCAAATTTATTGAATAACGAAAATCCATCTGATCAACTTTCTTAACTACAATTTGTATTTACTCTTTTTCTTCGTAAATAACCATCCCATCAACTTCATATAAAAACGCCTGCTAGTAAAACTATGGTATTTGCTTGAAAATCCAGTTTTTTAAAAAAAAAAAAAAAGAAAAAAGAAAAAGAAAATTTAACAAATAACATTAATTGCTGGTGTAGAATAAATTCTTTCTTTCGCAATTGATTAATAATTAAAATTGTACCAACCTGCTAGATATCAAAAGTCTCAAGGCATTACAAGATACTGAAAGGAAAGATAAAAATGACGAATACATTCAAGTACAGTGGCAACGAGGAGGAATGGATACACCTGGTGGCTTTCTTCTCTCTCGAACAATGGCTTCCTTAATTGCGGGCAATTTCTGGTACACTTTTTGCCATATGTGATTCACAGCACCATTAGGACGAATTGGCCCGATACCACCTGGAAATCCGTTATCATACTCAAAAATAGGTTGGATCTCAGCTAGTTTCTGGCGGAAGTTTTCCCTTTTCTGTTTAGAAAGACTTCTGAGGTGATTTACCAGCCAATTTGATCTCAATGCATCATTTTCTGCCACAAAGATAGAGAATTCTGAATAATCCACCATCCCTTCGAATGGAAGCTCAATGTTGTCGCTGACGATAACAGGTATGCAGAGACTTTGAATGGCATCAAATAGTCGGCATGAAGTAGGTGTGTCTCCAGCCGGGTGCAAGCAGAATATGGAAGATCGCATCCCTTTGATTGACTGCTCTATTCCAGTGGCATTGGGGAAGCCTTCTTCCATTATAACCCCAGGTTCATTAACCAACAAATCCCACAATTTCTCTCGGACCAGACCTCCCTGCTTGAGTAGAAGTAATAAAATTAGAGTTATAGCTCAGCAAGGTAGATAATTGATTAGCATGCAGTCCACATGCTCATGCACACTGTTTGTTGCGTTGCACAAGAGATGGAAGACATAAAACTAGAAGAAAATCAAACTAAAAGTCAGTATGCTAATTAATAGGCAGCGGTAAACTATCAGTTTTGACTTATTTGTGTGGTTTACTAGACAAGAATATACTAGCTGTCTAAACTTTTCTGATTGGGAAAAAAAAAAAGAAAAGAGGAGAATGAAAATAACTATTAGGTTGCACAGGTTGCATCTTGGTTAATTTCCCATTTCAATTCCTACTTTTAATTTTTTAGTCTTAAACGTGTATAATCAGAACATAATTTCTTGTTTTTGATTTAACACCATCGAGACTTGAATGCCAGGAATTCAATTCATAACTTTCAAGTTGAGAAATGAATTCCCACATCAATCAGTTCAAGTTGAATTGGTAAAGTTATGAATTGAATTCCCACGTTAACGAATTCAATATGAACCAGTGATAACTCAAACACAACAAATTATATTTTAATATGTAATAAGAATAATACAAGAATTAAAACTACAAAAATGAATAAGAATTAAATGAAAATAGAACAAAACACAATGAAAGGGTCTAAATGCAGAAGTTAAAAAGGAAAGAAGCTTTATCATTTACATGGAATTGCATCTTTCCATCCCTTGTTTAAGTGAAGTTATGTCAAAAACAGAGAGAGAGGTCATAACTGAAACAAGAAAGTCTCCTTTTCATGTTCGTGTAAGAGAAAGCTTTGGACATAGGAAGAAACACAGGAAAATCATTGCAAGAAAACGATGAACTAGTTATTGCTAGATAAATCGAACGTAGAAGAAATGATAACGTGATGATTAGAATTCTTAAATCAAGAAAAGCACTGACCCTGTGTCTATGTTTAGCCCCCTTGAAATAAAGAAGTGTATTGCGTTCCTGGTCTTCCGACAAGTGCAATCTGGGAAGCAGATGTGTATATGGCACAATTACATCTTTGAGAATTGAAACTTGTGTATGTTGTATCGTCTCAGTTGAGCTACCATTGGATGACCTAGAATCAATCCTGTACCACCCACCAAAATCTACCACCAGGAGAATGGCCGGTGCTATCTCAGCTCTCACATGCCACATTGCAACTGGGTCTGCCAAAGAATGCCTCAAGGTTTAACATAACCTGACAATCCAGAGACTTGGATCATAAGCTGCTAAAGCATATGGATATTTCTACAATTTTTGCTTCAGCAGAAAAAATTAACATAACTCACTTTGATAGAATCAGGGCCCAGAAAACAAAGCTCAGGGAAATAGAACTATTGATTATATCTAGTCATACATTTTCTCAGGTTAACCAGCCAAACATCCAAGCTACCAAAAGCCGGCTTCTCATTTCTAATAAGCCACAACCCTATTATATTAGGAATACTAGTGCAGCCCCATCCATAAAATGAGATGTAATGAAACTTAAAATTGATTTTTTTACAGCAGTTTTTCAGTAAATTTTTAGTTTTTATCAAAAGCAATTTGCCTTTCTCTCTCTATTAATTTCTCTATCAAAGATATAGTAAGAAAGTTCGGAAATCATATAGTTTACAACCTCAGCAAGAGTTTACCGGTAAGAACAAACACATGATCCTGCCCACCGGACCGCTTCCACGCCTCTGTGTTCTTGACAAAGTCGAGCACTTCCCTCTGCCGGCGATAGTCTTCATTGCCCGTCTTTTTCTTGAAGATTCCCCTTCCCATTCCCAGCTGCATTTCAGTGCTTAGCGTCGCGAAAAATGGCACAAAAATCACATCAGCCTCAGTTTCAGCGAAAACCCTTTTGGCAAAAGATCCGCTTCTCTGATCCTGAGGTGTCTCCAGGTCGCCCATGATCCAGTACTCCGCACTGTACTGCTTAAGCAGTGGATTCTCAGGGTATGGCGGGAATTTGGCGGGTTTGGGCGAATGGGTAGGCGGGATCGGGTGGTCCGGGTCGGTGGGGATGCGGGAGTCTGGTTCAGATGACCAGTATTTTTCAAGAAGGCCGTAGTTGAGAGATCTGGGGAGCTCTGCTACGTAGACATTGATGTGAGTGGGAGACTGGATAGTATCTTTGGAAATTAGGGGAGCGGGATCGGGGTCTTTGGGTGTGGGGCTTGAGGAGAAGAAGAGGAAAGAAAGTGAGAGGATACAGAAAAAAGTAAATGAGATGAATAGACAAGTGACCGAGCTCAAAGGTTTCATGGTTGTGAAGTTATTCTTGGTAGCCACGAGTGGAGTTTTGGAGCTCTGCTTCGCCTCGGTGTCCGCAGGATCTCATGGAGGTTAGTGTGATGGATGGCCGGGTAGATGATTTTCGGGAGAGAATGAAAGGGTAATCTGGTACATTTGGACGCAAGTTCTAGTTTTCTTTTTATTTTTCATAATCAGTCCTCCACTTAACTTTTAAATTTTAAAATTAAGATATCCAGTATTTAATTTTATGTCAAAGTAATCTTTTTTCTTGTTCAACCCAAATACTAAGGAATAATAAAGTTAGAGTTTACATTCGTTACACAATAGTTTAAAATATCAAATAGAGATGCAAGAATGTCTCTTATAAAAAAATAAATAAAAATTATAGAAATAAACGAAAAGTAAACAACTGAGTATCTTACTACGACATTCACTAGCTTTTAAAGAAGTTCGGATCGTGAAATTCACAACTTTTTTGTTGATTGGGATCTGGATCTTGGTCCTCTTGATACGAAATAGTTAATGTAAAGGTGAGCTACACTATCCTAGTAAAAATATCACACTACTCACCGATACAGAAACTGAAGGTTGATAAAAATCATAAAAATAAACAATAGAGCTTTTAATTTAAATAAATTCATTTATCATAAGTAAAACCATTTATTGTATATTTACCGTTGCGAAATTTTCAAAACCGACTTATAAAAATAATAGCTCAACAACATCATAATCTCATATTCAAATAAGTAAGAAGAATAACTTTTTTTTATTTGCCTGCGGGTATCCATGGGAGTCTATAGAGATATCCCACTACGAGTGAACAAATATCAAATCTTGTCAACTAACCAGTCGTCTCCATACTCCGTCCAGTATGAGCGCTAAAAATATCATTCCTCAATACCTTATTCGATATGAGGGTGAAACGGGCTGTTTTTATACCCCGTCTGGTATGAGCGCTAAAAATACCAATTTTCGATACCTAGTCTGGTATGAAGCGACGTTTACGGTAGGGTTTCCTATGTACCCGATCTATCCACCATCTCCCAGGATATCCATTAAGGCTACCATTCATTCATTCACTTAACCAATCAATTTTCTGTTTAAATTTAATTTTCAATTTCATAATTTAACCGTAAATCAACGCAAGACAAATAATACATGTATCAAGAAAACACAACTGAATTATTTTACCAATTTCAGTATATTATCATGCATTTAAAGCTGTAAAATCAAACAATCGGTTAAACAGGACAACAGTAACAAATAACCAGTTCTGGTTTCATTAGTAATATTTAATTAATTCTCAAAACTTTTTGAATTACGTAAAATATCGTATTATTGATAATTAAACTTCAATTCCATAACATAGAATAAAGTGAGGGATTCTTACTCAAATCGTTATTTGAAACACCGAACTTTCAGCTGTGCCTATTTGCAGTCCTCAGGTTTTCTGATTTTTTCTGAAGAGCTTAGCACACGCTTCACGTACCTAAAAATACTACAAAAAGTCCAAAATTAGTGTTAAAAACCTTTTCCGACCAATTTTGGGATTCCAGAACAATGGCACCGCCGTGCTCCAGCGACGGCACCGCCGCTTGCAGCAGAAATTTATCTCGGACTAGCTATTTTCAGCTAGTTTTGGCCAGTTTCAACCGGTTTTATACCTATTTCTGCGAGAAAGCACGTTATGGAGCCTCGGTTGGCCGAAAAAAGTATAAAAAAACTTACCGGAGGTAGAGTTTTTCGGTGTGGTGGCTCCGTTGGCTCACCTTTGTCGCTGGGTATTTTTCTTTGATCAACCTATAGAAAACATAATGGTGAACACAATGGTGAAAAAATAGCACGAAACGAAAAACGGAAAGGGGCTCATCGGAGGCGATTTTTTATTTTGCTCGTGGTGGTACTGCCAAACTTTACCCATAGTTTTCAGCTCATCCGCCGTTCTTTTTGCTTCGATTTGGCCATGAGGGTTTTCGAAATCAAATTTCAAGTGGATATAAGAATTTTTGCCTTTTTTGGTGGTCGGAGGTGGCTCCGGCGCGGCGGGTGACG